GACTCCGGGACGCCCCCGCCTTGGCCGCCGCCTGGAGGGTACCGGCCCCCCCAGGGGTCCCCGTCGTGGGACTGCGCCCAGAAAGCGCCGGGAGACGCGGCGACCCCGAGGTGCGGCGCCCGCTCGGGCCGAGCTGCACGTGGGTCGCGGGGATCGGGGTGTCGGTGGGAGGAGGAGGGACCCGAGGGCTCTGGCGGGTCGCTGGGACGCAGGGCGGGTCGTCTTGGCTGTCCCCTGGGAGGGACGGGAGCGCCCCGGGACGGTGCCCAGCGGTGTGGGTTACGGGGGTGGTGGCGCCAGGTCGCGGCCGGGAAGGGGCGGGTCACCCCTCGAGGTGCTTCTCAGGGTGCCCCCGGGCCGACCTCCCCGGCCAAGGGGACAGAGGAGCGGCAGCTGGTCGCCGTCGGCGAAGGTAGACGGGGGATTCAGAAAGCTGGATTCCTGGTGGCGGCGACGGCGTGAGGGACCCGCGGGGTGCTGGGGACCCAGCGCTTCCCAGCCGGGACTGCGGCTAAGGGGCCGGACCGGGTGCGCCACGGCGAGGCGCAGACCCTGGGGGCCCGCGACGAGTCACCGCCGGTCCCGGCTGTGTGCCCCAGGTCTCCTTCGCTCAGCCCTCCTTCGGGCCAACTTAGGTTTGTGGGGACCCAACTTAATGGCATAATTCATGTTGCCCTCAGACGGTGCAGGACCCTCACCAGCAGGCCCAGGGCCCCAGCTACGGGAAAGCAATGTGGTAAATCTCCTAAAACACAGCCTTGAGCTGAGGCTGCACCCACGGATTAGAGCAACTTGGAATCTGCAGCTGGGAATTAGGGCGCACGGGCCACCGCAAGCGACCGTGCTAGACTGTGCGCCTGTGCCACGGTGAGAAAGTCGCCCTTAAGTGTAAAATCTGGGCTAGCCTGACAGTATTCACAGCCTCTCCTAGAGCTATGGGAGGTTTGGCCCTTAAATGAAAAGGAAGTAGTCCACCTTATTATTTACAGCCACACCTAATATTCATATCCAATCACAGAGCAGGACTTAAATCCTTTTGCCTTGTTTTTCCCCTGCCTGAAATGTCCCCCTTCCCCCCACCCATGATCTCATGATCTCATGACTACCTCCATATACTTCAGGTCACAAGCCAAATGTCACCTTCTTAGGAAACTGTCCCTGACCACTTGACCACTTCCTTCCACAACCTATTGCTTATTTCATAGACCTCATCATGGTTTTATTTTATTCTTTTTTTTTTTTAACTTCTTTCTTGGTTGGTTTTCTCCCACCCTTCCTCATGAGAATATATGCTCCCAGAAAGCAGGGAAGATAAACCAGTTCAGCACAGTTTGCAACTCACCCAGTCCCTAGTGCCTAGAGCCAATACTACAGATAGAGTAGTTGCTCAGTAAGTGATTGTTGAACATGGAACAAGTGCCTAGTGGCTACTGACCTGGTTAAGTCTTGCTCGGGTGCAGTGCTGTGGCATGGTCTAGTCAGGAGGGGGGCCTGGGCTGGGAAGGTAACGTGGGCCGGGGGGAGCCTAGAGGTGGGTATGGGCTTGGTGTGTTTGAGAAGCTGGGAGTAGCCTCTTGCAGATGGAAGGAAGTCATTTGAGGGACCAGTGCAGAAACAAACTAGAACCAAGAAATGTGGGTGAAGCCAGGTTATAGAAACCTCCCGATTGCCCACATCCATTTTTATCTCAATCACTTGTTCTAACTGAAAAATTGTATTGAGATAACCGTAGATCCTCATGCAGTTGTAAGAAATAACACAGAGAGGGGTCCCTTGTAAACTTTGTCCAGTTTCCCCCATTGGTAACATTTGGGAAAACTACTGTGTAATATCACAATCAGGACATGAAAATTGCGATAATTTTAAATTTTTTGTCAAGGTACTCTAAGTTTTTGAAAGACATGCACAAATACTATTTTAAAGGGTTTCAGTCTCTTGTTTTAATGGAACCAACATTTTTTAGGGGAGAAAAAAGGTTTATTTTACCAATTAGAGAGTATTTAAGTTCCTAATTCTTCATATGTAAAGGACCATCGGAAGCCTTTGGGACTTACCTCTTCTGTTTACATTTTAGCGAGTGCCATCCACTTCCCTGTTCTATCCAGTACTGCCCAAGGACCATTTTAAGCAATACTGTACATGACTTGTCAATTCTGAAATCAGACAGGATGCAGTGTTAACTAATATGCTAAACTAAGCCCAACCACTAATGTGCCTTTCTCTCTCCTTGGACATTGGATGCGACTGCCAATGAGCGTCTCCCGAAGGGAAATGATTCAAGACAAAGACCCATTCTGCCAGCGGCATACGCCGGGAATACCAACTACGCTTATTACCGAATGTGCATGGCTGGGGTTGGCCGGCCTTCCTGATGCCAGTAAGAGGAGGCAGAGGCAATCTCCAAGCTTTCAAGTGACATTCAAGTCACCAGGCGCTTTGACACCCATCGTTAGGGGCCTACCCCAAAGAACCTGTGTCTCTACCTCCGCTGGTGTCCAGGAGCAGCAGCTCGGCTAGTATTTGACCCTCTTTGGAATCCGTTTCTCCTAGATGTGCTCTTGCAAGCAGCACACTCCTCGCCTCTCTACCTTGGTCTTGTTCAAGAATCCAAATCATTAAACGCTCCCACCTGCCTCTTTCTTTGCAACTCTACATACACTGCAGAATTTTACTTTGTCTCCTTCAATTGTGTGGCTTCCCTTAATCCTTGGAGAGAGCTTCAAATTGTTTATTCCTTTAAAAAGTAAAAAAA